TCGGCAAGAAGAGGATGAATTACATCTGCTGCTCCAGTGCCAAGCATATGAAGATCTGCGGCATAACTACATGCCAGAACTCCAGGAGAGGAAAATCCAAGCAGAGTATCTCCCTGTCGACACGTTACGAGACGTGTATGAATCGGCACTGACATGGAGGAAGCTAGCAGAATATACAAGAAAGGCGCTGGAGCGAAGAGAAGCCCTCACAGATAGATAAATTTGACTGACTATGGCTGTATACATGAAGCCTCCAAATAAATACTTCTTCTTCTTCTTCTAGTAAGAAGTCCGACCTCCGCGGGAGCTCGAAAGAAAGTGGAGTGAGCGCAGTCACGGCCTTTTATAGCGCAGTTACTTCCACAGCGAGTGAAAAATGCCTTCACGCACCAAGCCATTCTGGAGGGCCTTGACTGGAAACAGCTACAATTTCCAGCTGGCCCCCAATTCGAACCCATCCCATCTAGGTAATAGTTGGAAAATCAAATCAGATCCAGATCGGTTCCTAATTGCAATACCACTGGTGGAATGATAATGTTTTTGTTGGCTATTCTTGCGGCGGTTCATCTACAGAAGTAGTTGGCTTTCAACTTTAAATTCAGCTGTATTCCAGTTGGAAGGTCCTCTGTATAAAATTCTAACTGGATATTTCCAGTTGGAAACAGTCATTAATACCAGTTGCATTCCAGTTGGGGAATTCCAGCCGTAAAATATCCAACCTGTATCTACCATTTTCCAGCTCTTCGCCAGCTGGAAATGGTCCGAATATACATTTTTGGTCCAGCTGAAAAATTGCAGGCGAGCGACCAGGCCCATACGAGACATGAGACGGACCCCGACCCCGACGCGAAGCAGAACTGACTAATATTAGTATCAAGAGAAGCACTTGTGTACCAAATTTCAGCTTTCAATAATTACATGTTTCGAAGTGGCAAAAACCTATTTAAGGTACGACCCCGTCGAAAGATGTGCCATGAGGGGACGTATACACAGAGATCACACGCAAGCTCGTGGACAAGCATGATTGTCTAATTCACACTGATTGTCAAATGGGATATTATACAGATAGGTCGAGAGCCCACACTCAAAGAAGTCAGCTTCTGCATGCATCTACATCTACTGCATCTACACTAGCGATTTTCAACTACTGATACTTCTGGCTTTTGTCAGTGGTACACATCAAAGATAAAATTCGCAAATATCAATTTTTTTAAATCTGCAACCACAGATTGTTCATAATTACATGGCCTTCTAAGCTTCTAGCCTAACAGTTTCAAACTGCCTCTTCCTTTATTGTTCTTGGTACAGGTGAAGTTTCGGACTTTAATCTGGAACAATTGATAGAAAAGGCTGAAAACCACTGACACTGACAAGTAGGCATAAGTAAATGGGGGAGTTATAGGAATGGGGAAAAATATTGACTAAAGTGTCCATATTGAGATGGGGTGGGGGGAATGTGCACTGAACAATCTTTCATCACCAAAGCTTACCTATCAGATGTAAACACAAAAACGACTCCCCTGTGATCATATTAAACTGATGCTGAAGATGCAGATGTAGTCAACCACATCCTTTCAGTATTCAACTAAAAGAGCACCACCAACCCACTTTTGGAAATGTTAGGGTTTAGAAAACAGTCATGGTCAAACCTTAGACATGGGAATATGGAGAATAAGAAAGCAAAAATGAAGTCAAACATATAGTGGATTGAACAGCCAAACCTGCCTCATCCCAGGGCCTCAGAAAGTACCTACTGCAAAATAAAGAATGGTAGTAACTTGGCAGGTGATCATTTCTCTATTGGTGATCTTAATCTAGTCAACCATACAAGCAAAAGAATCTAATTTATCACAACATATTTTTTATTTGGATTTTTTGATTACAAAGCTTTCATCAGAATAAAAAGAATGAATCAGCACCATAACACAAGGGGATAACATGCAACAAATGGAAAGAAAAAAGAATACTTCCAAAGAAAAGTGAATTCATATGAAGAATTCATTTAGTCACGGTGACTTCCCTCCGAAGCAGCACTTTCGAATCTGCATGTCCACTGCTTCAAATTGTTTCAAGGTATTTTCAAGTTGAGATGCATTTGCCATGAATGACACTAACTCCACCTGAAAAAGATCACATATGATTCCTCAGTCAAGCAAGTAGTTGACATGTCATGAATACAAGATCACATGCACAGTTTTATGCATTTGACCTCTCCAAATTGGTACAATGAAAATTATGTAAAACCCTATGTCCAGCTCCAGCAAAAAAGCAGTCCAATGACAGCAATTCAGTGATGACATTTCCAAGGTGGTGAAAGCAGGTCCACCATACATGAGGTCTTATCAGTGAAAAACACTGAAGCAGTATGCTAGTATGCTGTTCAGTGCTTAATTATTTGAAATTTCACTAGATTTTTATTGGGAACAGTTATGAGGAAGATGTACTGCTTGGGCAACAGTCTAGTCTGTGTATGTCCAACGTAAAATGCCTTTTTTGTTTCTCTCTTGATGCCACAGGTACAGAGATTTTGTATAATGAAAAAACTGGCAAGGGTTGTGGAGGACACTGACAGGAGTCTTTAAGGTGCATAGAGAAAACATGCTTCTCACATGGCATGCAAGAGAAGAAGTAGGCTTTCCAACAACCAGTTGGGGACAGATTTTAATTGTTCAACACTGAAAAACCATACCAGATGGATTCTGAGTCAAATTTTGGACAAATGATGACACAAATCATAACATGAATGGGTGCTTTGCAAAGGTAACTGATTAAGCTGTCTGAGGATATAAAAATGTTTGCAGATGATGCCATTGGTGCTGAGAATTTTGCTCTAGAAAAAGTGCTGCAAGACTTTTGGAGGGCAATATATGTCAATAATGGCTTCACTCTCAACTATTTATTTTCAGAACAGTTTCATTACTAAGCTGGCAAGTATTTACAAGCTACATAGAAAATATCCAGCTGCCAGCACATATACAGGAGATTTAAATCCATACAATAAAGATTAAATTCAAGTTGATATATACACTGTTGAGTTCCAGATTGATACAATCCTCATCAAGACAAAGTTTCTGGCAATATGAGGTCCTAGCATACAATGGCAATATATGACATTGAATTGTACCCAATATCTATTTCTCATGAAGACACCAGACCACGTGTGAAGGCCCATGCAGAATTCCAAAGAACTTGTGACTCTAATTCAAAAAGTATGATAGGAAGAAGAGTGCTACACAGGGTCCCAGTACTGTTAGTCCAAGTACCATTATAACACAAAACTCCCCATCGACTGAATTCAATGGTCATTTTGAAGTTATATCCAAGGAATTTGAAAGAGACAAAGTATCGAGCAGACACTGCCCTTTTGGAGCACATGGAGATGCAAAACAAGAATGAAAAACTTTAAACCAGCCATAAAACACTTTAGCTTAGGCATCCATACTCTAGTGACATAACCCTGAAATGACAAAATTCAAGTTCAATGGTCAATAAAAAAAAAAAAGGTCCTAAACATAATTAACAATACTAATTGGGTGGCAGAAGCTGCAGGAATCACTTACTTTGCTTGCTAGGGGGTTTCGGACCTGTAGTGAAACTCCAGCAAAAGGGACATTCATCTGACTCCTTTCTTGATCTTGCACCTGAAGACTAACTGACCACCTTGTGTCTTCTAATCTTGGCTCACAGAAAATTTTCTCAGATAGGATTTTCCTCACCTGATCCTGATTTCCCAGCCACCACTGCTGTAGTGCCTAGAGTGAAAACCTGAATCAGCTCACAACACAACTTTGCAAAGTGCTGGAAAAGGAAATTACTTTGGCCAGAGAGTATAGATTAATATAAACCCTGTAGCATGTAAAAAAAATATTTCATGGAAATAAAAAAGCAACATCAAACAACTACTTTTTTTTAATAGTCAATGTTTCTTGCTGAAGTGGTGTCAGCTGTCACTGGAAGATGTAATATTTTGTACAGACCTATGAGGGTATTCTGAGATTCCTACAAATTTAAAAATATATACGTAATGAAGGTTTTGAAACTGTTGCTGAAGCTATTGAAAATAGCTCAAAGAGGATGAAACTTGACAGCATAAAAATGAACAATCCTAAGGAGGATGGGAGGATATTCAAATAGAAAAGAACCTCCATAGGTCACTTGCAATGTGGTGTAGAGCAAGTTTTTAAGGAGTTGCAGCAAATCTGTGCGACAGTGTCAAAGCAAAATAAAAGATGGTAGAAGAGTTAAAAATGGCATAAAACTTTTTAGGACATAGATCACTCACATGAGCAAGATCCTCAGGGAATCCATCTTTCTTCTTAACACTTGAAGTGAGAAAGGCATCCAATTGTCTCTTCTCCATGTCAGATGATATGATAGCCTAAGGGACAAGCCAGAAGAACATGAAGATCTATTGACAACAGATCAGCAAATCATTATTAAGTATTCAGACTCAGTACAAGTACTTAATTCTGACAAAGACATGTGAAGGATTCTCCTGGAGACAGCTTCATCTTCTCATAGAATTCACAAAAAATAACACTAAAAAGCAACTAGGCAGCAATTGGCCAATTCTGAGTCAAGAGTAAATTGCACACAGGTAGAGATGCTAGTCATGAAGAACAGACAGCTGTTCAAGTCCATAGCAGATGGCTACAAAGTGTCTATGATTATTAGATGATGAGAGATGAAGAGATTCAAGTCTTACTGAAATAATATTCTGAAGCACTTGCACATGAACATATGAAAATTGAGCTACCCTGAAGAAGAGATGACAAGACCAACTTCGACAAAAGGTATGGCAATTGATCTTATTCATCCAAAGGGAGTTAATTTTGGGGAATTGAAGTAGGTCCTACTAAAATGTAGTTTCCTCAAATATATATAAGCTTGAAAGGAGTAGTCTTTTCAGTTAGTAGAGTTGACTTTGAGTGAGTCTAGTCACACAATATTAGATTTTTGGCTTATCAGTGTACCAGCTGGAATCACAGCACCTCTATCAGATAAAGTTTCCTCCTCTTCCACATAACAATGACAATTCATGAATTAAATAAATTCATAAGACAAGAGCAGAAAGAAAATCATAATTTCTTAATGCAAGAAAAAAGAAAATAGTGGTACTCCTCATCACTTCATCAGGATGCATTAAAAAAAAAACAATTCTTCCACTTTTTCAGTTTTATAATATGAATCAAATCAACTTCACATGAAGGTATACATAAAAACCTGTATGCTAAATACTCAACTAGCAAACAATCAGCTCACCTTAATGAGTTTCTTACATTTTTCATGTATTGTCACAGCCTTGCTTCTCTCAAGGTGTGGCATACCTTCCAACATCATATTCAGGAGCTCCATCTCCCTGCCATCTGTGGATACTGCATCTGAGATTACCTTCGCTGCAGTTTCTCTTACATATATCTCCAGGGCCATTATGAATTTGAAACAGGAGCCTGTAAAAAAGAAGGGTAGTGAATAAGCTATAAAACAGGTTCTAAACAACTTCTGTCTTGCCTTCCCGTTTTACAGTGCTATTTAGGTATATGCAGCATTTAAGTTCAATATTACCAAAAAGAAGGATGGGTCTTGAAAGATAAAGAATATTGGCCAGTGTTGTCTTTTTCTGGACCTCAAGATTACATTTATTATTGTTCTTGATATGAAAGGTTGCCTTTTTTTGTTAGAGCATAAAAGGTAAACTTAGGAATGAATTTATAAATTTCATTCTATTTGCTCATAGCTCACAGAAAACTCCAAACAAAATAACTAGCAAGTTACTGATGCTGATGGCCCATGCCTACCAATTTCAGTGAATAAATAATGAGAATAAATTACTTAGGTAAGTTTTCGCACACTGATGCTGGAAATCTACCCTGGGATACTTAGTGAAGAAGCCAACCAAATATGCCAACCTTCTACATCTTTTTATTCTTTCCCTCCAAAATATCCTTCCTAGCATAATCTCCTCTGGTTCAACATCCCCTGCCCATTCCCCTTATTTTTTCTTATCTCCCTTGCCTCCTTTCACTTTCTGCATAAATGAATGAGTTGTATCCCTGCTGGTCATAAAATGCTTTGTACAACAAATCTAGGCATATTACACAGGTTCTCTGATGATAGCAAGATAACTTACACTGGGCCTATATTATGTTAGTAGGACCTGATAATTCAGATGGTTGAAGAACTCAATTAGCTATTGAAACCATGTTGTACATGGGTCATCCCAAAAGTTCAAGAACAAATGTGAATATTTTATTTGCATGTGATCCAGCAGCAATGGTCTTATCATAGTATTCATATTGATGTCTCATGGTGCTAACATAGGAATGACCATATAATGGCTCTTTCCCATTGCAAAGATATTGCATTTCTAAGTAGACCTACATTTTACCAGCATGGAAGAAAATGATCGGCTCCAGTGAGGTGGGTTTTGGTTTCTGTGGAAGCAGAAAAAGTCACAGGTCATGAGCTGCAAGAAGTTTACAGGGACAGAGCTTTCAGCAAAAGTGCCATAAATAAGTGAATGCATCACTTTGAAGCAGAATAGGATACAGTGAATGATTCATCAAGGTCAACCTGAACTTGGTGCATGCTTGGAGCATGCTCCCATTGTTAGCCAGTGGGTTCAAGAGATCCCAGCAAACTGGTTTGCCGAAGGACTCAAGAAGCTAATAGAATGGTGTAATGCCACCGTTCTATTAGCTTCTCGTGTGTGCAGCTGCACATGAAGTACATTGAGAAAGTTAACTGGGAATGCTGCAATTGGTGTTTCAACTTGATGTAGAATAAAATGTTCTCGAACTTTTGGGATGACCCATGTAGGTTCTAATCCCACGAATGTACCCTGGCATAAAACCCCCATCAAATCCTCCAACACAGCCTCATCTAGGGTAGACTAAACCTATTCTCCTATAGCCTCACACATTCCCATGTGACCTCTAGTCTAGGGCTCTCATCCTTTAAAGCCTCCCACATCCTCCCACCAATCCCCTGTAATTAATGATGCTTTAGGACTACCACATAAATTTTCTTTCTTAAATTATAGTTCAGCACCTTTTTAGTTGATATGGACAACCATGCACAGGAAAAGGTATACATGGGTATCAGAGGCATCATAATATGTGCCAAGAAAGACCAACAGAATGATACAATTTCTCATCAAAGTAAGAATATAGTCTAGGCCTGTTTTTGAACTGTTTTCATAATATCTCTATGAAAATAAAATTTGGATGTGTTTCCATGAAGGATAACTCAATTCTAGCTTTTGGGCACACTGAACTTTATATACACTATCTGGATCTAAATGATATTAGGCAGAACAAAATGACATGGGAGTTGATGCCCTATTGCCTGGGTCTCCAAGACCTACTTGAAGCAGAAGCAAGCCTCCCTTCTCATGAGCTTTGTATTCTGCTTTTTCTCATAGGATAACAAATCTGATCCTTTCTCCCAGTCTTGCTGCATAGGAGGCAAAGTCTCTTCATGATTCTTCTGACCAGAGTGCAAATGTGCAGAACTTGGTTGATGGGATCTAGTTTTCCCTTAAGACGTAGGCTAGTCTTGTGTACAGTATCCCCATGTCATGAAGATGAAGACTCTCCCACAGTTATTTGAAATCCTTAACAAGAGATACAGATTTCAGTTGAAAAGCCTTCTTATGCTAGGGTGACAATATTTTTTTTTCAGGAAACACTAATAAATTTTCAAGAAAATGTAGGAATGTTAGTCCCTGCACTGAGAAAAAAAAAAACTGCGACACCAGGATGGGAAGGAAAATTCAAACCGGAACATAGCCTGGAAAACAGGGTCTGTCCCGGTAAAAATATGGCGTCTGGTCACCCTACGTTTACTTCTCTTTAGTGGCCATCTAAATTTTTAACCATGAGCTCCAGATATGCTTCACTTCCGGCAAGATCCAAAAACTAGGCTCACCTCTGGACTTAGCTCCAGAGAAACTTGTCCTGCAGTAAGCTGGGCCGACGTTCTGCTCAGTGTACCTCACAGCTGAATGGAGTTATGTCTGAGGCCATTGGCGGATTTGAGCGTTGTGATTGGTTCTCAAGTGCATCGTCTGCTAATCACTGAGTATGATCTAAAATACGAGATCCGACAATAAAGCAATCAGACTGATTCTGTAAAAAAAAAAAAAAAATTGTCTATCACTAACCTTTGGTCACCTTTAAAGTACTCTCCTTCTGACTTTATAACACATCCTGGAACACATTCTATAACACATCCTATCCCATGCCTTTGCTGGCATGACATTGCTGGAAATAATTTTTTGAAAGCCCTTTAAATACTGCCGTCACATTGCTCTGAAAGTCTTCAATTGATTCAAAATGAGATCCTTTCACGGAGTTTTGCAGTTTTGTAAACATTAAAAAGTCGCACGGGGCAAGATCAGGCGAGTACGGGGGATGTTCCAATATTGATATCTGTTTTTTGGCCAAAAATTTGCCTTACCGAAGGAGCTGTGTCCCACACAGCACAGTGATATCCCTGGCATGTCCCTATAACTGGACAACTTGTCCCCTGGTCTTTATAGAATATCCTGATGACATCTTCTTTCGAACGATTTCGGACATCTCGTAAGGGATGTCTTCGGGATATCTAAGAGACGTCTTTTAAACGTCTTCAGTCGTTATCTTAAGAGATATCCCTTTCGGGATATCTTAAAGACATCCTTAGTCGAGTGCTTCTGGATATTCTTGAGGGGGTATCTTGAAGTCATCTTCAGTTGAACGCTTTTCGATATCTTGAGGAGGATGTCTTCGGGACATCTTAGGGATGTCTTTAGGCATCTTCAGTACTCTTTTTAGCCTTCAGTCAGGTGCATAGCTTCGACGGTAGATGTCTCCCGTGAGCCGTGATCTCCAACCTCAGACCTTTTCTATCAAATTCATCTATTTCATCTGTCCTGAGGATAAGTAAGGATTTTTGTACCGTACATCAGGAAAACTGCCACCAGAGAAAGTGAAAAAATTGCGGTCCGAATTTTAATTTATTCCGCTATATTCTATTTAATGATGAGCGATCGGCATGTCCGGATAAAACTATTTTGGTTCGAGGCCTGAGCCCGTATCGCCCGAAAAACGTAAACCTAATTATTTCGTTCATGACCCCTCGTTTCGTTCATGACCCCTCGTGTTAAGGTCTTACGTTTCGTCCCTTTGGAATGTATCTCCTATAATGGGGCCTCCTTCAAGAACAGGATTTTCGTCCTCCGTTATCGTCGCTCTTCAATCGGTCAAAAACTTGGTGTTCCTTCATTAAACAGACAACTTCGAAAGAAATGGGTACTCCTGTGTGGTAGTAAGTAAGCAGCAGACCTAGCACAGCGGCTACAGATGCCAACGCGGAGAAAGCTGAAAAGTTACTGAAAGAGGACGAGGTTCATCTTTCACGTTCGTTTTTCCGTCTTTAAAGTGCTTCCACCACTTGAAAACCGCAGCTCGTCTCATTGCGTCATCTCCATAGGCTTGCTGGATGAGTTGCAGTGCTCCGGAACCACTTTGTCCAAGCCAAACACAAAATTAAATCGCCCAACGCTGACGCTCTACTAAGGAAATATCGAGTTTCTCCGCCAACGCAAAACAGGCTCTTTTAAAACAACCGTAATTCAAATACTAACGACGGTAGAGAGACGAAGGTCACACCACTACTACATTATCCCCACCACTACAACTTGGCATAGCAGTCACCGCCTCCCTCTCCATAACAGCGACGCACTGCGGCCATTCCACGAAATTTTCAAACAGCCCTCGTATTTAGACGATCGTGAGTAACTGAGTGACTGGCGCTAATTCCAACCGTGTTCTAGAGAAGTTAGGTATCTGAAACTTGATACACAAGTAGCTATTCAAATACTTTGCAGAAAAAATCCGACTTTGAGGTTTATGCTCTGGGGGCACCCTTTTTTTTTGGGGGGGGGGGGGGATATTTTAAAACCAATATTTTTGCTTCAGTCATACGGAGAAACATGAAAAACTGAAACTTGACACGAACGTGCCTACTGAGACACAGAGATCAGGAAAATTTTCAAGTTTCAGCTGCATCCCCTGGGGGTATATTTCTTGGGGATGACACTTTCAAAGAATTCTCTTTCGTCCTAGTGAATTGGGCGCAAATAGAAAGGTGATATTTAGCACACGCATAACTGACGTGATGTTAAGCTCAGGAAAAATGCAGCTTTTGTGGTGGATCCCCATAGGGCATAGCTTTTGGGTGGATCGGCTTTTCCGAATTTTTTTCTCACCAGCGAAAAGGGAAAACATTTGAGGCTGAAACTTGGTGGGCATGTAGTTCTCTGAGTACTGATTTCAGTAAAAACTTTAATTTTTAGGTAAAAACCCCTCAGGCACATTCTTTTGCAAGAAGTGCCTTTTCCCGAATCTTTATTGATCCAACGAAAGAAAGAGCGATAGAAATTCGAAACTTAGTGCAGAAGTACCTGATGAATAGCTGAATAAAGAAAAAATCCTATTCTTGAAATATTTCCCATCTGGGGGATTATGGGAGTGAAGTATTTCAAGTTTTTTTTTCGCTTCGACAAATGGGAACAAACAGTGGCGTAACAAGGGGGGGGGGGGGGCAAGTGGGCGGTCGCCCCGGGCGCCACAGTCCGCGGCAAAGTAGCCTTTAAAAAAAAATTTTATTTCAAAGAAGCAAAATTTCGGAAAATTTTTTCATTTTGCCGCCCACTGGCAAAATGCCCATTTTGGCGATTTTGCGATTATTTCCCGTTTGCCGCCCCAGTTCCGAGGGTGGCAAAACTGACGCAAATAGCATTTCTGAGATAATAAAAGAAATACAATTTTACTATTGATATATATCCGGTATGACGCATGGTGGTAGCTCGATTAGTAGTGCTGGGGTTATATTCACTTCCTTTGCGAGCGAGTTATGACTGATATTAAACGTATAAACCACTCTGCTAGCGACACATGCTGAGAGACAGCAGTCACGAGTCACTTGATTTCAGCGAAGTTATTAAAGATTTTGCAGCCAGTAAATCAAGAAGGGCTGAATTTTGATTGCAGTCGTTTGTAAGAATTGATTTTGATTACATTATTTGTGCTGAGAATCAGTCCTGAATAACAGAAATATTTAATAAATCTCATTCTCCCGTAAAATGTGTGTGCACATGAAAATAACAATTAGCAAGGGGGGGGCTGGATTATGGGGGCGGCAGTAACAGTCACTCGCCCCGGGCGGCAAAGTACCTAGTTACGCCACTGGGAACAAATAAAGACATCTTAAGTTAGACACACGATAAATCATTCGAGTAGTGATTTCAGCAAGAGAACTGCCTTTTCTTACTGCCATCGAACTGGAAAAACCTACCACATTCAACATTATCTATTCCTTTAATTATCTTGAAAGCCTGGATGAGATCGCACCTCCTTGGCCTTCTCTCCAGCGAGTACAGTCCCAGCACTTCTAAACGCTTCTCGTACGGAAGTCCCCTGACTTCCTAGAATGATTTATTCTTGTGGCCCTCCGCTGTACCCCTCGAGCGCCAGCAATTCACCCTTATTTGTAGGCCTCCAAAACTGGATGCAATATTCCAAAAGCTTTTTATTACAGCAGTGCACGGGATTAGGGAAGAGTAGAATCCCAGTCCCCCAAGTACTACATCTTCTCTATCCTAAAAGGAAGAGAGCTCCTTTAAATATCTACTTTATTTTCGAGGTTCCGGTACGGGAGGAGGAAGCAGTAGGTCACTTTGGTACTCTTTGAGTACTAGTGAGGATGAGTACTCGTGTATTCTTCCAACCACCCTAGAGATCTGAAGATCGTAAAGGAATAGGAGATTCAGTATATCAATTCTCTTCAAAGGTACTGATTGACTCTTTAAATACGCATGAATGCCATGGGAAAATTAACATAAATCTTACGAAAAGTGAATGTAAACATGCTGTTTGGAATGCAAACGGGAATGTCAATTTTACGTTAATTTTATATCACCGTTTACGTAACACGAAGGTGACACTTCTGCAAACATGTTGACATTTTCTTGACAATGGTTTGCGTAAAAATGATATAAAATGGACAAAAATTTACATTCATTTTACGTAAAACTAACACAAACATGCTGTTTGGGAACTTTCATAAAATCTTCATAAGTAATCATGGCTGAAAGATGTCGTCTTGGCGGAAGAACATCCCATCTCGCCTGAATTCTAATGAGTCCGCTTAGACTCTCCGGAATTTCTAAATATGATACTTCCGAACTTCAAAATGCTCTTGTAACTTTACCACCATAACGGTTTTTGAAATCGGTTAGCTTCAGAAACAAATCATGTATGCATATACAGGGTGGGCCAAAAGTTTTTGCCCCTGTATAAAAATGTGAATATCTCCTGAACGGCTTGGGCTACAGAGTCGAAAAAAAAAACTAAAAGAAAGTTCATTTCATCCTCTTTCTGAAAATGTATGGCTTTAGGTTCCTACATTCATTTGGAGATGAGTCATGGACGTTTGAAGAAACCATACCGAAAAAAAAAGTTGCCAAAACGAACCAATACCGTGCCGCCCACGGAAATCATCCTCAGCAGCTGGCTTCAAGGTCGCGCGCGCCACCGTTTTCTTCCTTCCTAATTGCTCCCTTCCTTTTTTCCCTTCTTCATAATGTGAAGGATGAAAGTTTGAAGACTTTGATGTTTGATTTGGATAACCGACCAGCAGAAGATCGTGACAAAAGTTAAACGGCCTCCGGTGGTCTACTCCGCGCGTTGTGCTGAGTGCTCGTCTTTGCCGTGTTAATTTTTTTTTAATTTACCTTTTTTTTTTAACTCTTATTCAGAAACCCTTACAGGGATAATTTGTCACAGCGTCAATGTTTTCTGGCGTTCTTGCTCTTCTGGGACGGCCTGTGACTGGAAGACGTTCAGCACTGCCAGTTTCACACAGTTTTCGCAAGATATAACGCACAGTCTTTTTTTTTCCCATTTTCGATCGGGATATTCACATTTTTATACAGGGGCAAAAACTTTTGGCCCACCCTGTATTTGTGCAAAAAAAGCAAATATTTTTTAT